TATGTCATGCTTTGACTCCCCTGGGCCACCCTGGGTGTCCCTGTGAGTAAGGCTCAGGTCCCACCCTTGTCATCATGGAGCAGAGGAAGAGGACCTTGGATGAACTGGAGCCACTATTCCTTAGCAGAATCTCTTGCAGTTCATACACACACACACACACACACACACACACACACACACACACACACTCACCATCAGCAGCAGCACTGTCCTTTCTCATTCTCTGTTGCTTCTTACACACATGCACCCCACACACACACACACCAGCAGCAGCTATGTCCTTGCTCTTTCTGTGTTATTTCTTCCACCTGGGTCTCTCTCCTCACTGTCCTCAGTACCCACATCATCATTCACGTCTCTATCTCACAGCCGCAGCTCGCCCATCCAACTGGCCCATTCACAACTCTGCCTTTAGTGAACTAAGAATCCAGAGCTTGGGACAACTCTATGCTGATTTCAGAATGGGAGGTTGAGCAGGTGGGCCAGAGGTAGGCTGCTGGCGTTCAAAGCCTGCTTCTGCACACTCCTCCATGTATCACTGAAGGCAAGTTGTTGCTGTTTTATCCGGTTCTCCATCTGTTAAATGGGGTTGATAATAGCCATCTCCTGCTCTGGTAGGCTTGCTGGAAGCATTACATAAATAAGAAACTATTTACCATTGAGGAAGCTCTGATAGCCTAGTGGTAAGGAATTGCACTGCCAGTGCAAAGGTACACAGTTTGAATCCACCAGCTGCTGTGCTGGAGAAAGATGGGCAGTCTCTTTCTGTACAACTTAACACCTCTAAAAACCCACAACTAAGGTGTGTCGGATACAGGCCATGGTCTTTGCAATCACTTGCTATGCATCAGAGAGCTGGACAATGACTAGGGATGATAGAAGGAGAATTGATGCCTTTGAGCTGTGGTGCTGGAGAAGAGTATTGAATATACAATGGACTGCTAAGAAAACGAACTGGTTCATCCTGGAGAGGGTTAAACCAGACTCTTCCTTGGAGGCAACGATTCTGAGTCTTCGTCTGACATACTTTGGACATGTTGCAAGGAGGTCCCAGTCCTTGAAGAGGGACGTCATTCTTGGGAGGGTGGATGGACAGTGCAGGAGAGGAAGACACTTGATGGATTGATTCAGTGATTGGGGTAATCGGTATGGGTGTGTTGGAGACAGTGAGATTGGCACAGGACAGAGCAGGGTTTAGGGCTGAGTACATAGGGTCACTATGAGTCGCACATAACAACAACAACAAACCCACGACAGGGTCACCTATGGGTTATACCCATATGGTTGTACCATCTAACTTGATGGTATACAATGACAGCATTTGCCATTGAGTTAATGCTAACCCATGGTGGCCCATGTGTGTCATATCATACTAGAATTGTGCTAAATAAGATCTTCAGTGGTTGATCTTTTCAAAAGTAGGTCACCAGGCCTTTATTCCAAGGTGCCTATGAGTGAACAAGCCTCTGACCTTTTTTTTTTTAGCAGCCACGTTCATTGTTTCCAATGCCCAAGCACTCGAACAATGACTTCCTCAAAACTCCCATTGCTGCTGAGTTGGCAATAACTCATAACTGACCATCTGTTGGGTTTCCAAGGCTGGAAACTGCCGAGGATGAGATGGCCTGTCTTTCTCTCCTAGAGCTGCGAGTGGATCCCAACCACCAGAAAGGTGTAGCCTTTGAGTTACCAGCACATCTCCTGATAGGCCATCAGATAAGGTTATGTATTAGTTACCCACTCGCACATCCTTACTCACTACTGCAGAATGGGTGGAAACTCATAGCCACCCTCCACGAGCTTTAGAGGCTGTCAGTATTTCCAGGAGAAGACTGTCCACTTTCCCTCATGGGGCACTAGTGGATTTGAACCACCAGAGTGTTTGGTTAACAGCTCCACTTCCTACAGACTTTGCCTCCAGAACTTTTTTTTATTACTAATAGCTTCTATATCATATAACTTGTTAATGATTGCCATCATTAAAAAACATGAATAAATTAATAGTACTTAACATGGGATGCTCTTTGGAGACAAGGATGGTGAAACTTTGGAAACAGGAATGGGAAACTGTCATGCTTGTCTTTTAAGCATGTGGCCAATTCTTGGAAAAGGACATCACACTTGGGAAAGCAGATAGTCAGTGAAAAGAAGACCCACAATGGGACGGATGGGCACAGTGACTGCAGCAGTGAGCTTGAATATAACAGAGTTGCCGAGGATGGTGTGGGACAGGGCAAGATCCAGATCTCTTGTTCTTATGGTCCACGTGAGCCAGAGTAGACTCAGCTCCTACCGAACCACAGCAGATTATAACATGTTAACTACTTTGTAAATAGTCACTTACTTGCCACACTTTGTTTTCATTATGGGCGAAGCTTGTCTCTCCAACCAAATCAAGACCTTCGTCCTTGCAGCCTCATCTCTCAGTTGGAAACAACAGCAGATGCATTACTGGTGTCCCGTATTCCACTTTTGCCCCTTCAACCCACTTGCATCTTCTCTTTACAGCGCCATCTTTAAAGGAACCTCGACTCCGGTTGCCTCCTCCTTCCACCCTCCTGTTACCACACTGGCTTGGAGGTGGAATCTGCTCTGACATGCTCCTCACCTCCTCCACCATGTCTCCACAGACCGACCTATCAGTGCAGCCCAGTGGGCATGTTTATGACCTTATCCCAGCCCTGTCTACTGTAGACACTAAGTAGCTGTTCTTATTGTGTACTTTGAAGTCGGAACTGACCCATAGCTGACCCTCCAGCAGGTTTGCAGAGGCAGTTAATCACATGAGAGGAAATTGCCCATCTCTCTCATGCAAAGCATCTGGTGGATTTGAACCACATGCCTTCAGGACTACAGCACGGCTTCTTACCACTAGGCCACCAGAGCTCCCTTCCCAAATAGTAGGAACCTGCATTTATTGAGCACCTAACCTGTGCTAAGCAGAACTTACATGCTTGTTCCTCGTTTGCTTTTCCGAGCAGCTCTGTGAGACCATCAGGGTTCTGCTTTGGGGCAGAAACCATACCATTTATTTTTTTTTCAGCTTCACTCAGAACCAGTATCAACACTCATTTGGGGGGACTACTGATGATGAAAAAGAATACTATCGTTGTTGTTGTTGTTATGTGCCATCGAGTTGCCTGTGAGTCATAGCAACCATTATGTACAACAGCCCTAAACCCTGCTCTATCCCTTGCCAATCTTAGTTTCTCTAACACATCTGTCCCCATTACCTCAGTGACGGAATCAATCCACCTCATAGAGGGTCTTCCTCCCCTGTGTTGTCCCTCCACCCTCACAAGCATGACGTTGGTCTCCAAAGACTGGTCCCTCCTTGCAACATGTCCAAAGTATGTCAGACGAAGTTTCAGAATCCTTGACTCCAAGGAGCAGCCTGGTTTAACCCTCTCTAGGATGAACCTGTTTGCTCTCCTAGCAGTCCGTGGTATATTCAATACTTTTCTCCAGCACCACAGCTCAAAGGCATCAATTCTCCTTCTGTCATCCCTAGTCACTGTCCAGCTTTCTGATGCTATACAGAGTATTTGAACAGAGAATATAATTAATAGTCTTTTTTAAAAAAGTCAATTAGGCATAAAGTGTTAACTCGGTAACTGAGAAAAAGAATGACAAGAAGTAGCAGCTTCACCTGGAGCTGCAGGAGGGAGGGAGGGGAGAGCTGGGATATTAACACATGAGACTAGGGCCAGAGCTGTAGGGGGAGGGGAGTAGTCGAGCCTAGAGGGGCCGGCACCAGGTGGAGGGATGTGGGGGAGCTTGATGGCGCTCACCTGCAGAATGCTCGGAAAACCCCAAACTGGATTTACCCATTTGTCCCACTGCCATTGAGTCGATCCTGGCCCTTGGGGACCCTGTGTGTTTCAGAGTAGAACTTTCTGGAGGGTCTTCAGTAACTGTCAGCTTCCACAGTGGCCCAGGGTAAAAGGCCAGCCTTTCAGTCAATAGCTAGGAGCAGGATCCTTTGTACCACTTAAGGTCCTAAACCTGGCTTCTAAAGGAAGCCAGTTCTGTTCCCAGGGAAACAGGGAGGTGGGGTGATGCTCACAGGGGTAGGGAGTAGATAGGAAGGAACAAAGTCAGCCTTCTGCTCTGCCCTTCATGCACCCCCATCAGCAGCATCTAAGAGAAACAGCTGGCAAAGCAGAAACAGGGTGTGAAGGGTCCCAGGCTCGGCATCATACAGCAAGGGTGGAAGTGAGAGACAGGGGCTTGATAAATGGAAGGCACAGCTGATAATGCTCCTGCTTAAAAGATGAGGAACCCGAGACATGTAGAGTTTAGGTAACTGGCCCAAGGCTGAACAGTCACTCTCCCCAAGCTGAAACTGGATCCCAGGAAGGAGAGCTGGCAATCTGCACCAGTAATATTGCAAGCAAGGAACTCTAATGGAGGAGCTGAACTGTGAGGCGCACAGGGCACTGTGGGCCACATCCACTCCATGGCACCAGCACCCTGCAGCAAGTCTGGCCCTGAGCTTTTAACCATGACAGATGTGCAATGGAGGATGGATGGATGGATGGATGGATGGATGGATGGACAGACAAAAAGATGGATAGATAGGTGGAGGGATAGGTGGGTGGATGGATGGATGGATGGATGGAGGATAGATAGGTGGATGGATGGATGGACAGATGGATAGATAGGTGAAGGGATAAGTGGATGGATGGAGGATGGATGGATGGATGGATAGATGGATGGATGGATAGGTGGATGGATGGATAGGTGGATGGACGGATAGATAGGTGGATGGATGGATGGATGGATGGATGGATGGACAGATGGATGGATAGGTGGAGGAATGGATGAATGGATGGATGGATGGATGGATGGATGGACGGACGGGTAGGTGAATGGGTGGATGGATGGGGTAGAGAGGAAGGAAGGAAAGGAGGGAAATCAGCAACTCCAACATTGCTCATCCCAGTGCCAAGCCCATGTTAGGTTCCCCCTGCTTGACCATCTCTTTGTCCCCTCTCCAGGTCATTCACTGGAATTCCCCCAAGAAGCTCCGGGTGAAGAACAAGCATGTGGAGTTTTTCCGCAACCTCTACCTGACCTTCCTGGAATATGATGGGAACTTGCTGCGCCGGGAGCTTTTTGGCTGCCCCAGTGAAGCGGATGTCAACAGTGAAAACGTAAGTGCTCAGGGAGGCTCTGCAGGGCAGGTGGGCTGCCTCTGGTGTGCGCTGAGCACTTCCATGGGCCGGGCTTGGGGCTGGCTCAGGGTGAGACCGAATAAGCAAGATGCCTTCATTACTCTGCTGGGCACTGATGGGCAGTCAGTCAGGGCAGCAGACCCATTGAATGCTGGTCACTATGAGGGAGGAGGAAAGCCTGGTCCAGCCTTGATGAGGTCAGAAATGAGTCTTAGGTGACAGTTTTTAAGCAGAGGAAAAGAAGGAGCCACATCGTTGTGAAACAAGATTGTCTAGACTTTCCGGATCCAGGAAGCCCAGAGGTCTTGCTGAGACCTGACACCACCAGGGAGAATCGTGGTGAGTTGATCAGAGTCTGGAGGACACGGAAGGAGACATTCACACGTAATGGACTTCTTAGGACCTGCGTGGCTGACAGTACTATTAGATATGTTGTCATGGGCTTAGCTGATGTTACTGGATTTCCTGGTTTCTTTAGTGCTTGTCATTATTTTCATAAGTTTGGCACTAATGGGGAAGGAGACTAGATGCCTTTGACTTGGGCGAAGAATACAGAGCATCCCATAGACTGCTCAAAGAACAAGCAAATCTGTGTTGGTAGAAGGGCAGAGAGAATGCTTCTTGGACAGAAGGATGGTGAGGCTTCATCTCACATCCTTTGAACACGTTGTCAGGAGGGCCAGTCCTCTGAAATGATATCATGTGTGGAACCTCAGCAGTGGGCCGCATGTAAGCTGAGAGGTGAAAATGGCACATGAACGGACAGGGTTTGGTTTTGTTGTACATGCAGTTTCTAGGAGTCCAAGGCAACTAAGTGGTACCTAACAACAACAGTGGACAGAGAGAGGATGGGAGAAGCTGACCAGCATATAGGCAGGCAGCCTCCAAACCAGGACAGTCCAGTTTGGAAGTCGTCTGTAGCAGCCAGATTCTACAGAGGCTTGTTTGCTTTTTCTGGTGAGAATTAGGGTGGAATGTTGACTTGCTAGTCAGTGTGAAATAATGTGATTCAGCCTCCTATTTAAAAATACATTTGGTCCTTTGGGCCTGTGGCCCCGAGGCTTGGTTTTAATTGTTTTTGGACAAACATTCTTCTGTGTGATATAGCACTTGTCTGTCCATTTGCTGTAGAGGTAAGTCCTGGTTGCTGTGATGCTAAACACTGTGACACTGTTGTGTCATATGTGAGACTGGTCACCCATGGTGGACAGTATTTGGTGGAGCTCCCCAGTTGAAACAAGCTTGGAAGCAGGAGTGGCATCCACTTCCGAAATGGCTTGCCTCTGGGAACTCTATGAATGTGGAAAAATGACAAAAGTTATACAAGCATTCAGATCTTTCTTTCATAGGGTCACTGTAAGTCGTCTACAACTCGATGGCACTTAACAACAACGACTATAGTTTTAATTATGGATTTTGGGTGCCATGAGAATTCCTTTGGATTCCAGATAGTAGGATAACTCACTTTTGGAAAGCTTGAAGGTGCCATTCACACGTGGCCATTTATCAAAATGAATCTCCTGATAAATACCGCCCCCTGCACTCTTTTGCTTGACCTCCAGTCACAGTGGGCCCCCTGACCATTTGAAACCTTCTCCATCCACATCGCCCCAGACGCTTTCTCAGTGTCTGACCTTGACAACTGAAGCCAGAGAAGAAAGCTATTAAGCACTTGAAGGCTTTTTTATTCTAGGACGCACTTAGCAGCTTCGACGAACACTGTGCTCTCTGGGTTTTCCCTTTGCTTCTCTTTGCACCAATCAGTATTTGTCATCATCATCAATATTTGAGTGCCTGTCCGGCACTTTTCCCCAGAAGTTAAATGAAAACTATTCTCTTGTCTCTCTCTCTTCCCCCCACCGCCTCCGTCTAAGAAGCTAAAATAAAAAGCCTTGCAGGATAAAGACTTCAGTTAGTCATCCATGGCAATGCGTTTTTGCACTGTGCTGAGTGTCATACAGAGTGGAACTCCCTTCATAAATGACTTATCAGCGTCTCCTGCTGTCACCTCTCCTGGAGGGGGATCAGGGTGAAGAAAGCATTGCGGCTTCCTCAGAAGCTGTGGCTGCATTGACTTGCTGGGTAAACATTTGCTTCAGAACTTGGTGGTGCAAGCAGTTGATGCACTCCACTGATTTAAGGAAGAAAAAAAGAAGTTTGGAGGTTCAGGTCTATCAAAAAGGTGCCTTGGAAGAAAGACCTGGCAATCTTAAAAAATTTAGCCTTTGAAAACCCTGTGGAGCACCGTTCTCAGATACACATGGTATCACCATGAGATTGGTAAGACCCAAGGACACCTTGTTCTGGTACTGGCTTATGTGAATACCAGCTGTCTCCTAGACACCATGCAGGACCCTAGGGCTAGAGTCTGAGTCTGGTCCAATGTCTATATATGAATTGCCTGCTATGTAAAAACTGCTGGAGTCCCAAAAGGAAAGCCTGCCTATTACAAGAAGCATCACAGATGAGAAGCAAGCTTCCTCTACACACACCCCCACAGCTGTCATCCCAGCCACTCCTCCCTGCCTTCACCTGAACCGCATCACTGCCTTCAGCATCCAAGGCTCACCTCACCCTTTGGTATTTGCTGTTCCCACTGCCTGAAACACCTTGCCTCTGGGTGTGTTCAGAAGTCATGTTACCTTGTTATGGAGATTGTCCCTGTCTTCCTCCCCACCCCTCAAGCCTAGTGCAACCCATCAAGGCACTTCTCTGTTACATGTTGTATTTCAAGTTCATCACAGCAGGAGCATCTGCAATTAATTGGTTCATGTGTTTGTTTCCGACCTTCTTCCCCAAAACAAGACCAGAATATGTGGCTCTTAGAGACTTTGTCTTCACTTTTTTTGCCTGTGGAGCCTTATCCTTTAGAATAAACTTGGTTGGGGGTGGGGAACCATTAAAGCAAAACCCCTGAAAGTGAGTTAATTCCAACTCATGGTGACCCTCCATCAGGTTTCTGAGGCCGTAAGTCTTATCACAAGGAGACTACCAATTTTTTCTTCCACAAAGCATGCCTAGTGGTCTTGAACTACCAACCTTTAGGTTAGCAATGCAACATGTAATATACAAAGTACATAGCCCTGCTAAGTTTAATAGCAGACTGTTTGTAAGAAGTCTTAGGTCAAGGTAGTCCCATATGCTTAACCAGCTGTATAAGCCCATAATTTCTAACATTAACAGCTCTGTCTGTGCCTCAGTTCCCCAGTTCCTCTTTGGCCCTTGGGTTCAGTGATGCACTAGAAGGTCTCCCAGAGACTCAGACCCATTAAAGGAATGACTCACAACACACACAACTTTAGGTCTGCAGGGTGGTTTTGGAGAGACTGATGAGCCTGAAGGCTGTCAGTTGTGGCACCGCTAGATGGAGGCTGTGGGTGATGTGGAGACCTGTGTGCAGTGGACCAGGAACATGCAGACTGTCCGATGTGGCAAGTTTGGGTGGTGCAGGCTGGATTCTGTGTCCTAGGGGACGGTCCGTAAGAGAAAGCTGATGAGGGGCAGGTCAGGTCGTGGAAAAACCTTGGCTGACCTCAGCCATTTAGACATTATCTTATCGACAGGGAGGATCCAGCAAAGGCTTTTGATCCTAGATTAACATTCAAGAAAAAAGGACTGTGTGCAGCAAATAGAATGAATGGAACAAGACAAAACAAGGCACTGGGGCTGTCCCCCCATTCCAAACAAAAGATGATAGCGAGACTCTGTTAGGGATTGAACTGTGTCCCCTGCCAGATGCCTCTTGGAATCCTGACCACTGGACTAGTGGATGCCACCTTGCTTAGGAATGGGATTTTCTTGGTTATGTTAGCGATGCCATGTCAGTGTAGGGATTGTCTTAAACCCCATTACTTCTCAGCAATCACGGAGCAGCCTAGACTCAGAGACAGGCATAAATGGGGAGAGGATACCAGCTGCTGGCTGTGGAAGATGATGCATCTACAAGCCCAGAGACTTCAAGGAGAAGCTGTAATCGACCCAGAACATCCATAAGGCACAGTCTGAATTCACACTTAGCCACCACACTCATCTGATTGAATTGGTTCTGACTCATAGTAACCCTATTGGACAGAATACAACTGTCCCATAGCATTTCCAAGACTGTGGTCTTTCTAGAGTAAGAATGGCACAGGGCAGGACAGAGTTCAGATCTGTTGTTCATAGTGTCACTGTGAGTCATACTCGACTCAGTGGCACCAAACCACAACAGTCATTACAGAGGCAGACTGTCACATCTTTTTTCTGTAGAACAGTTGAAGGATTAGAAGCACTGATCTTCCAGCCAACAGCCAAGCCCTTAATCACTGTGCCACCAGTTTGCTTACATTGCTGTTCATTAAAATGACCCACTTGTGGTGCTTTTGATACAACAGCACTAGAACACTCTAGAATACTAGAGGCTCCCGCCAAGGGCAGCCTCTGTGAGAGATGGAGAGAGCAGAGCAGGGTCTTGGCCAGCCCATTGATTTGTGGAGCTGAGGACAAGGAAGCAGTTGCTAATGGGACTCCTCCAGTGAGACAGCTAGTCCCTGTGTCCTGCCACGGTCAGGTTCTCAGTCTACACCGGCCAACAGGGCCAGGGCTGGGGTCAGGCAAAGAATGTGTAAACACTGCACTCCTGGAAGCCGCTCTGTGGAATGTTTCACCACCTGGTCCTCTAGCACTTGTCAAGTGTCCTCTGCAAACACAAGCAGAGGGGAAGGGGAACATCTTGACCCAAACCCTGAGCTCCCAGATCTATAGATCAAGTTCATTAGAGCTGTGGCATGTGCTCAGATCAAGGTGAGTGTCAAAGAGACAAAGTCAGAAAGCTCTTTACTGGACCTCAGATCCTGGTTGACAATTATTCTGTGACCCAGCAGGGGGGGAGCATTACAGAACCCAACCTAATGGTGTCTCAGGAAGGCAGTTGTTACCCAGTGTTGTGATGGCAGCAGTGCTTTGAGGATACAAGAGACGAGGAAAGAGAAGCTGTTACC